TGTTTTAACAAAGTTGCATTTGACTGTTTCTCTGACAACCACATCATTTCTTTGGAATAATATCTTTTATAGTATTCTATGCTCACAATTCTGTTTTCTTTTCTTTATTTTTTTTTTTAGTGTCCAGTTGGGTGTTTGTGAATGTTTTATAGTTGAATGGCAATGTTCATAAAGCATAATTTTGAATGTTCTACCATAATACAGGTAGAATTATTTGTAATCCAAATGCGACTTTTAAAAATCCAGCAAGGGTATTAGAATTAGATTAGAGTGGCCTATGCAGAATTATCTTCAGTTGTGATTCTGAATGTATGGTAGCACCAGTTATGTTTGTCAAAGCTAAAATCAGGCTGGATACCCTGACCTTTTCCTTAATGTGAAATATGGATGTGAAATATTTAGATGCTATAGGCAACCTATAGACTTTCCCTTTCAGGTTTTATGCTTTCTCAAGTTGTGTATGTCTAGTGGCCTTCCCTAAATACTTTGTAATTCTCTGCTTTTACTCCCATTCTCATATCTTAATATTTATGAATGCTGGAAATAAACCCAAAAAGTATCTCCTTTCTTAATTCTTAGACATGTACTGTTTCCTCAAAGTGCCCACTTTCTTCTGCTGACAGCAAAAGAATCTGTGATACCTCAGGTATTAGGTAGCTACAGTAGGGGCACATTTGATCATGCCTTGTTTTTATTTCTTCTCACTGTGCTTCTGGAAAAGCCAGTTCTATTATTTTTCATGAAATTCCAAAAGCTACTTACATAGGAGTAGAGGAGAAAGTTCTTGACAGCCAAGTGGCAGACTCTTATTTTTGGGTTCTGTCTAGTCAGTGGAGAGGAACAACACTTAGAGAAAATTCTCTGTAAGTGGACAATTCAACACATCCTAAAATAGTCAGTTGAGTTTTGCCCTAGAAATACCTGTGTCCTGCCTTGTCTCTAAAGAATGCTTTAAACCAGCCAGGTCAGAGAAGGGCATGGACATCTCAGTAAGATTAGTTCTGTCCAGACTCTATATTGTGTTGGGACAATGACAGTCTCACCCTGTTTATTAATAGCTCCTTAGGTCATGTGTAAGACAGTATGTGCTGTACTATAGCTAGCAATTGTGCATTGACTGAAAATTGTTGTAAAGACTGTTAGCAAAGACAAATATTGAAGTGTATTGTATGGAAACTCTTCACCCTACAGGCTATCAAGCAATGAGGTTTTCATTCATACTGATAATCCTGGAGGAGTATTGAGATATGGAACAAGTTGATGCAGATGATGTTGAATTGGGCAGTGATGTGAAAAGTACACAGATGAAAGAAATAAATGTGTAGACATAGTCTGAGGGTAGTACAGGGGTAAGAAATAAATGAGGCACACTTGGACACTGCAGGTGTGGGAGAAAATGCCAAGAAATTCAGCCACAGAAGAGAAACTTAGGAAGCAATAACACAGAAAGAAATATGTAAAGATAACAAATGGGAAGCAAGGTAGGACTTTTCAGAATAGACAGGCAAGCAAAATGAGTTAATGGAACCAAGATTAAGTCTGAAAGCAGTCAGGCACATTCCTCTTCTTTAGCTTTGAGACTGCATCCAAAACACAAAAGTTCAAACATAATGTAAAAGAGTATTTTGGGGGTCATGTAAGTGGCAAAAAACAATTGGTGATTTAAGAGATTTATAATATCGCTGAAGCTAAATGGAGGCAAGAAGGGAAGGTAGATGAAAATGTAGACAGCTTGGCACATTTATATCTGCTGGGTACAGATGTCAGTAACTCCCTGCAATGTTGTTAAAACCAAGCAAAGAGAGAAACAGAGTTAAAGAGTGGTATGAAAAAACATGGCATGGAATGTGAGAGCTGTAGTCCAGGGAGCTCTGTTGTAAGCTCTGTTTTAAGGATTTAGGAAAAACAACCTAGACACATTGCATTAGAAAAAAATATAATAAAACCTGAATATATCCTAGTACATGGACTGATATAAATGTCCTAGTGGTCTAAACTCCTGCTATTCTTTTAAAGATGCTCAATTAACATTTTTTGTAAACTGAATTTGGAATAATGACTCTACAGCACTAGGGCTGTCCCCTGGGGAGGGGTTTCACATATTCCAAGGCATGAGACAGAAAATAAACCATTTCTTCTCTATTTTAGAGAGGACTGTATTTGTACAAAAAAAAAAAAAGATGGATTCCTTTCCAAGAAGAGCCTTTTTTTAAATTATTCCTTTTCCATCCCCTTGTTTTCTTGTTTTGTATTTTTTTAATGCAATGCAGAGTAGCAGGAACAGATCATTTTGGGGGAAAATCTGGGGGCTGTACCAGTTAAGTGGAGGGACCTACCTCCTCAGTTTCATGTGTAATCCTGCATCTCACCCACAGATAGTTTGGGTGGAAGTCCTGGTTTTACCACACTGGTACACCTCCATGGGCTGGAGGTCTATAGTGTCAGAGGTGCTAAAAGAAGAACAGCCTGGCACTGAACACCATTTTTGCCCAGACTGGGGTTTGAACATTTGACAAGGCCTGGAATTATCAGGAGTGCTCCTGATTCCACCAGGACAGATAAGCCTCTAGCACAGGAACAGCTGTGTATGTGGTAATCTATACTTCTTGTAGCTCATCTTTCAGACTTCAGCAGAAGAATGAGCTATAACTTAGCTGTTGCCACTCAAAAAATAGTCTGCCAAGGTGCTTCTGCCATGTCTTTCCTCCTGCCAAACATCATTGTCCAGCATGAGCAAAAATGCAAGTAAAAGTTACGGTTATTTGTGAGCAACCTAGACTGAAATTCAAAGTTCTGGATGGAACCAGCCAGGAAAGATAAGGAGCCAAACTAGATAGCCCAGCGTGCCTTTTAGATTGACACTGAACCACTGATGAATAGAAGCTAAAACTCTACCACTTCTAAGTCCTCCATTAACTAATTTACAGGAAAGTCAATGATAGTGTTTAAAATTTTGTCATGGTTGAACCATACCTGGAGTTAAGTGGCTATTTTTCTGTTAGTAAGGAGTCACAGTTTTTGTTCTTGACAGTTTTCCAATCCCAAAAATGGCAACTTCCTTTATTACTTTTAGACTTCACTTGGTAATGTGGCAGTGAAATAAAACATGCTTTGGTTAAGGCTTGTACTTTCCATGAAAGACAGTTTTTCTAAGACGTTGGTGATACAGCTTTTGAAATTGGCTCTGGGTGCAGGACAGAAGTCATTTTCCTATCTGTTTCTTGATGTCGTTCATTATTGCACATGTTTCCACCGTCCACCCTCTGATCCAGCTGGATAACGCTTACCTTGGAATGGTAGGTGGGCTCTCCATCGCTGGAGGAAGGAGATTGGCAGTGGAAAAGCTGACGAAAGCATTTGTAAAACTAAAACAACAGAAAACAAACAATTCTATATATAGCTGCTTGACAGGTTACAGTTCAGAGCATCTCTGCAACATCTTCAAGGCAAGGTAACTTGCTTTATTAAGATTGTACTTGGTGTTCAAATAGGGATTAAATATTTTTTCACCATGAATATGTGTTTCTTGCTGCTTAAGACTAAAGTTCACTCAAATTTGAGAATGCTTTTCTAACACTGTAGATTCTGTAGAGTGTAAAGCTGTAGAACAATTTGAAAATATTTTCAGAACCTTTAATTTATGATAAAAGATTTAATCATAGAAGTAATTGGTTTTCAGTTACTTCACACATCAGGCAGGGAGAAGTCATTTTGATAATCTAATGATACACAGCAGGGAGAACATAGGGTTCTTTTCATTAGCAAGCCGTTGAAATCCCTGCATTCCCAAATTGTCAACGAAACTTAGAAAATGGCTTTGCTTAATTAAGAAATTTTTATGTTAATTCATTTCACTTCTGAGATCTACCCAAAACACTATTGATGATGCCAAAGCTATTGTGCAGAAAAAAAACCCAAACAACAGTGACATCAGTGCTCATCTGTAAGTTCCAAGTGATCAGAGTTATAGATACCCCCTCTGAGAGCTGCCAGTCCTATTCAACAGATAGAGATACCAGTAGTGCTACAAATGCCTCGATACATTTTCTACACAAATTTATTTTTTAAGTGAAATCTTAAAAAAAATAAACAGCATCCAAAACTTACTTTATGTCACTTTCCTTTTGCGTGGCTTCTTGAAGCAGAAAAGGTTTCCGGGAGCTGTGATTAATGTGAAAGTATTGTGGTTTAGGCAATGTTCTTGATCATTATCTGGTATTAGTCCATCTGAAAATGTGCAGCTGCAACAGCAATATTTCTCTTGCTTCAAGGCTGTAAACACCACAATTGATGGTGCTCATGATAGTGTGCCATTGGCACATGGCAGAAAAAGATGGTTTGGCATTTTGTGGATTTCTACTTGCTGAACGAGGAAGTGGTGAGGGGCTATTCCTTATGACAGCACTGCTTTAACTAGGAATTAGTCTCTGGTGTCTATCCATGAGACTCTTCACAGAATTGTCTGAAGCTGTGGGTTTCTGTGCCACCACTACATGGGTGATGTTTCTTTATATGCCCTTCTGCATGTGCTTGGCCAAGTCTTGCTGCTTAGATGGAAGCAACTGGGTGGGAAAAGTGGAATTGGTTCGATTTCAGACTAAGAAAGATCAACATTGCAATAAGGTGGAGATGTTTCAAGGGTTCTTGTGGGTGATGTTTTGTGGACAGTCCATAGAGTAAATGGGAGGAGGTGGGAAAGAGCAGTCTTCTCATTCAGGAGGCTGATGGTGATATGCAAGTTCTTTACAGGCCTTTCACTCTTTCTTTATGACTGCTATCCTACCCTGTTGACTCTACAGGGATCACAATCTTTATGTATCAAGGACAAGTGAAAGCTATTCAAATAAAAAGAACGACTGCTTCACTCAATGATTTTACAGAATACTTAAGGTATGCAACAGCAAAGAGAAGAGGGGAAAAATAGATAGGATAGCTACAGGGAAATTTCTGCAAGAAAAGTGAAAGCTGGTGTTCACTTTTGTTTTCACTTCTTGTTGCAGGTATCCTCATCATGATGTCCATGTGTAATGAAGTGCACGTGTATGAGTACATCCCCTCGGTGCGACAGACAGACCTGTGTCACTACCATGAACTCTACTACGATGCAGCCTGCACCTTGGGGGCTTACCATCCTCTGCTCTACGAGAAGCTCCTGGTGCAGAGGATGAACAAAGGTTTGCAGGATGATCTGTATCGCAAGGGGAAAGTCATTTTGCCAGGGTTCAAAGCTGTCAAGTGCCCCAAACGAAATAATTTCTCACACTTGTAGAAGTAAGTCTTTCAGACACAATGTGCAATAAGGTACTACTGTCGTACTATAAACAAGAAGAGAATACTTGAAAAAATATATCTTAGACCAATCTAGTCTTGAGTCTATAAATTGTAATTAAGTAGCAGGCATGAGAAATACTTCTTTTCTGAGCCTGAGTATTTATTACTGCTTTGCAAATAGTTACAGAAAAAAAGCAAAGGCTTAGCTCATGAAGGTGCAAAGGACATACTTAGGCAGAAATATAACGTATTGTTGTTGGTGTGACTGTCAGAATTTGTCGGTGGTCTCATGCCACATATCCTAGACTGTAATTTTTTTTTAAATGAATTTATTTAATTGTCAAACCTGGCATTGTGAAACAGCCTCTATTGTTCACGTAGGTACAGAGTGGCCAGTTGAACAATGCAGCATTTCCCGTGACTCCACGGGATTTTCACACTCTCCCAGAATGAAATGATTGCTGCTCCAAGCTGTGCAGTCATTCATTAGAGCAGACTCTAATGCCTGTTCTGTGCAGGCTCAGTTCCAGCACTCCAGCTGAACAGGGGCTTAGGGTGGCCCTGAAGCGTGTGTGGTTGGAGAGGGCTGTACACAGCTAAACCAGTTAAACTACTGGATGTATTTTTGGATGCCAGTCTCCCATGCTCACACTGACTGCAGAGGGAAGAGAGAAATGTCTCATTTCTTGAGAGAAAAAAGAACATATTTGTAACCCAATTAGGAAGAAAAACTCTCTCTGAAAGGACTATCAGGAAGGTGAGAGATGGAAATGCTGCCTTCCCCCAGTCTGCACAGATACAAAAGATCCAGAGAAAGCCAAGGAAGGCTGTGCAGCATTCACCCATCACACTGAAAGCAAGCTTAGAGGGAACTCACCTCTTGTCAACAAAGATAGCATTCAGGAATACAGACATTATTTGTTAGGTATTTCATTGGTATCTGAATCAAAGTCACTTGTTCACAAGTTCTTCAGAACATGTTGTTCAGAAAGAAGTTTTCTGATGAAAGAAGATGTTATCAGCATTTTTTACTTAATGCTTGAAAGACTATAATCCAGAAAAGCTGTAATGCCTGCAAAAAAACCTGACTATGGATTGCATATGGAGATGGTTTGATATTTTCATTCATAACACATAAGGACAATATTCTTTAAGGCAATTCTAAAAGTTAATGGTCTGGAGTGGTTTCCTCAGTTTTTTTGTTTTGGTTTGGTTTGGTTTTTTACCACCTGACTGTACATTTTCTTTTAGAGTAAGTTCAGGAGGAATATGTGTACATAGAAGCATAGCTATATCCTATTCATGTCCATCCAGCAAAAAAGCAGACAGCTCAAAGGGGCATTGAAAAAAATGGCTGACTGGTTGTGGTGGAAACTATTTTTTGTGTTTTGACTTAAGCAAAAGGCCTTTTGCCAGAAAGTAAAAAAAAAAAAAAAAGCAAACAGCATTAATGACTATTTCACCTTCAATTGTAATGTAAGTATAATCACAAAATCCTTTTTCTCTCAGTCACCTCTTTGGGAAGTAGTATTGGAATGATCTTTTGGAAGGATTATTTTCCTTCCTCAAAATGAAGAATATATGTCTTACGTAGGACTTAGCCTTCTTTTTGGGCTTTATGATGATCTTAAGTTTCTTCTTGTCGTCAGAAATTATCTGTATATGATCATATACTGTACTTCTGTTTTGTATGGATAGTTATGTCCATAAGGCATTTTAGTACAAATCAAAATTAATAGGTTTTACTCATACTAGCCTTGGACTCTGGATATAGTACATACCAATTTCTTTTTAATGTTATGTGTGGTGGCAACTTTTATTCTTGAAGTTAATAACATTGTTATTTAAATGCATGGAGGATAGATAGCCTACACAGAACTAATCTATTTTTCCATATGTTTGTTACTGTTTGCAAAACATAAGCAGTCTGAACAGTGCAATCAAATATGTCTCTCTCTGCTGTACCCTGGGTTAACTATGACATAACTGTAAAGGAAGAGAGTTTAGCTTTCTAAGACTAGTGAATATGTTACTTTTCAATAAGCAGGAACTTCTAGAGTTCCAAAAAGAAAAAAAAATCACTTTGGCCTGCAACCACTAACTTTTAATTTTGATTTTCACAAAGAAGAAAAATACTAATTGCATTGCTCAACCACCCACAGCAGGATTGTGCAGTATTATTTATTCTCTCAATAATTTGTCAGAATAATCAACACCACTGTTGATTATACAGAACAAGGAAAATTTATAAAGTTTCATGTAACAAGTGCTAAGCATACCTACTAAGTACATCATTTATATACCAATGCAGAACCAGGTCTGAGATGAACTGTATATTTTTAATTTACTGGACTGCACACTCAAGCCCTTGCAGCCGAATTCTTTTCTTTGCCATATCCTTCTTTATATGGCAGTCAGTCCTCCTTCCACAAGTGCAAATGTGATTGTTGTAGCACCATCACCTCAGAAGATGCTGTAGAGCTGTGCTGCAAAAGTTTGCTCACAGAGGAGGAAGACCAACCTGTGATGCCACCTTTAAAAAATGGACCTGGAATGGCTTTTTCCAACACTGGTTTTCACTGTGATGTTTTACAGGTCTGCCTGCTCAAACACATTGTGCTTGGTGAAAGAGCATTTTCTCTCCTACCTTGTCTTGTCCTCCTTCAGCTTTTGGCACAAGTGCAAGTGTGTTTGATCTGCTAACTGAGGGCTCCCCTCCACTTGCTGGAAGAGGGGAAGGGGCAAAAATAAAGGGGAGATATAAAGGCCTGCAGAGGTGCTCCTCTCACCACTCTCTGTGGCATTGGCATTGCTGGCTTTTATAAAAGCCCTCCAAATGTTTTTGAATTAATGGGCATTTTCCCATTCCTTGTGAGGGCAGAGAAATGTTTGCAAAGAACCACATTCAGTAAATTTAAAACAGTCAATAGCTCTTCTAAAAATAATGGGTGAGAGTGCTGGTTTTAGATGCATGTGAAATGCAGCAGTGTGAAAGGAAGTGTATTTTTTCACCAAGATCATGAGACTTTTTGGGGAAAAGATACAGGCATGGCTTCATAGCTCTCCCATATGGCTGTCACAAACTAACAGTGGGACAGCACCTAGACAAGGAAGGTTTGCACAAACCTGGTGCATCTCAAGGTGCCTCATCAGCCAAGCAATTGCCTCTGCTATTGGGCCCCTGAGCTCCCTTTGCACTCATAGGCTTTAAATTTATGGAATTTTACTGACAAGTAGGAACAAGTTGCCTTCAAACACTATCAAGCCTCATTTCTGTGCCCTGGTGCTGTGGACAACAGTTAAACTTAGCTGAAACAAACCAGAAACACAGCAGCAGCTTAAGGAAATGTGCTGAGTTTATGCTGAATTTAGTTACACTCTTCTTTCCCCACTGTGAATTATATAACTTTTCTGACTTGAGGTGCTCTATGATTTTATGCATTTCGTTTTGGATAGTTAAATTGAGGTATTCTTTTGTTCAAGAAAAAACTACAAAATATTTTGCCTCATTTTGAGCCAAAATCTTTTTACTGGAAAAACACATTATTTTGTTTAATTCCTCTATAGTTCTAAAGGTTACCTCAGCATAAACTCACAGCTCAGTCCTTCCTTGGAATAAACTACTACATCTTTTTTTACCTTGTTGTGCAGTTTTATGCTGTAAAAACTCTGGTAAATTCAGTGAAATTACCATGATGTACTTTTGGAGAGAGAGAGGGGTGATAAAAACACTCTAATGGACACTCTCAGTGTACAAATTTAATTTAAGCTTTGCTTGTCTTTGGTCAAGACGCTTTCTTTGGTGTGAAGACATCAGAATTCTGAACTTGTTGCTATAGATCTCTTGCCAAAGTCATAAAAACCAAAAGAGTTGTTTGTTTTGTTTTGTTTTTGAAACGAAGTGTCTACACTTACTGGTTGCACAGACTGAGCACAGTCATTTTAGAGACTGAATTAAACAGGAGTTCAAAACACATGTGGAGCAATCCCTGGTGAGGTTTTAAATTTCTTTTTTCTTCAGAAGTTTTTAAGGATGGAAAATGCCATTTGGACAGTGACACAGATGTACTATGAAAGGAGTATTAAATACATTGACTGCAACAATAAATGGTTACTATTTTTCCCTTCATGCTTTCTAAAGTTGATGCATATTTAAATGAAATCCTGCTTTGAAGTAGGTAATTCAGATGCCTGCTGTTAAAATTATTTGAATCTTTCCCAGCATCTATCCTCTCACACACAAGGAGGATACCTGATGTAACTGTTTGAAATTTAAAGTAGCCCGTGTCAAGGGTACGTGAATCACTTAATGAATTTTGACAGTGCAGATGTCTTCTCTCTGGCTTAGCAATCAGATTCAGAATTTTGTTCTTGAAATAAGAGTTGTGTGTAAAAGCCTTACTTTTTTCATATCATGTCATCGCTCTTAAAATATGTAGTCATTGAACTATTCAAATATAGACTGTGTACTTTTTTAATAGCTTTGAGAATTATTTTGTATGATGATTTTTTTAAATGAATGTGTACTCTAATAACAAACGTTAAGATTTTACAGGAGTCACATTTTTAAGCAGTGTTTGTATACATTTTAACACTTTTTATATTTTCTATTATGATTTTGTATATTTTTATGTATACACAGTGTACAGATTTTTTCCTGTAAATAAAACATTTGTTTTCATTTGTTTAGGAGTGCTGGTCTTTTCATATTGCCTTACATGAATGACACTGAACTGCAGGTGGAACAAAAGAGGGAAGGTGCCTGTCAGTTCTGCTCACAATTTCAATGAAATCTCAAATGGAAATGGACAGCTAATCTGACAAGGAGGTATCACAGTAAACCACAGAAAAGGGCCAAATATTGTAAAGCCAGTTTTATTCTAAAGTGAACATGTGGACCCAAGCAGATGTGCTAGGATTCCCTGGGAGAATATATTCACCATAAATTTCTTGTGATTGTCAATGAGTTTGTTGATAGTCAAGTATGGAGGTCATGCTCTGATGACCTGGTGATGTACTTGAAATGCTGATAGACTTCAGCTGCATGGCTGTGCTACCCATTCAAGGAATCATGTTGTGTTTAAGGGAGAAGAACAGGCTTTTAAATAAATTATTAATTAAAATGAAAACCAACTTAGCAAAGGGAAAATGTAACTTGCCATTCAGTCCATGATGAAGTACTGTGTAATTCAACCACAACAAGCCTGCTTACATCCATTAAATGTGGGGCATACTGCTGCTTTTTGGCAGTTCTTGAACTACACAGGGGCTGAGTTGGGCCAGTGGAGGTGCTAATCAGTGTTTTCATTCCAGGGACTCATCTTGAACCCATGCCAACAAGAAAGCTGGTTACACATTAGTGGAATGATAAAAGTTGGGTTGCCATCATGTACACTCCTGGCAGCTCATCCTGTGTGTTACACCACCTCCTGGCAGGCAGTGTTGAGGGGCTAGTTACTGTCATGATAGGCAAGTAAGGCCTCTCAGAAAACTCACATCAGTGAGATACTCTAGAGGATAAACTGAATGCTGAATGCTACAACTGAAAACAACTAATTGATACTTTTTAAATCCAGCAACTCTGCTTTTTTTTATTTAAAAATCTAACAAGAAAATATGATCACTGTGTTCTATTAAATGCTCGCTCAACTTCACTCTCTGTGACATGAGAGAGGACATTCTTGGCTCACTGCATTCAAACTGTACCTGGACATGTAAGTCCATGAACAATATTGTGTGGGGTACAGAGGACTACTTAAATCGATTGCATCCAATCTGGAACCTCCAGCGTTGGAGCAAATCCAGAGGAGGCCCACAAAGGTCAGAGGGCTTAAGCACCTCTCTTATGAGGAAAGGCTGAGACAGAATTGTTCAGCCTGGAGAAGGCTCTGGGTGGCCTTTCAGTATTTAAAGTGGACTTAGAAGAGAGATGGGACAGGTTTTTTTGGTAGGGCCTGTAGTAATAGGACAAGGATCAATGGTTTTAATCTAAATTAGTGTAGATTTTGACTAGATATAAGAAAGAAATCTTATATGACGAGCATGGTGGAACACTGGAACAGGTTATCAGGAGAGGTGGTGGGTGCCCAATCCCTGGAAATATTCAAGGACAGATTGGATGGGACTTTGAACAAACTGGCTGAGTTGAAGAAGGTCCAGTTCATTGCAGAGAGGTGATGAGCTTCAAAAGTGAACCTTCCAACCCAAACTATTCTGTGATACTATGATAAGAACAGGTAGACAAGCAAGGGACGAGTCAGTCTTTTACTATCATCATATCCCCCA